CAAATTCTGCATTATTGTGGACTTCCCAACCCCTAGTGGCCCCCAAATACCAATTGCATTTACCCTGTCTGTACTTAGAAACTGAAGGATCTTTTTCAGTTGTTCTTGAAGTGTATGAAACATCTTGATATCAGGTGGGCTCATCTTCACAACGGGATCTGGAGGTTTATCAACCAGAAAACCTGCCTGAAATTCTCCATGTTTTAAAAGAACATGGACTTCTTGGGATATCTGCTGCACTCTTTCACAAATATATGATCTGTTCACAACATTTGACAACAGATTCCTCTCTTGCTCATACTGATCCTTTAATGTTTCCACCTCTTCAAGAATAATCATCACATTGTTAAGCCACTGATTGTAATAACTAGAGGTTGTTTTTGTTTTATTTCGCTGGACTCTCCACTCATTATCATCTCTTTGAGCCTGAAGCAATGCTGCTGCCCTTTTCAATGTCCCATAGTCACTCTCAAAGGAGCTTAACTGGTTACCGGATGCATAATTCACAAGTCCTCCAATAGCATCCGATAAAAGATTACTGGTTGCATTAGCAAATACATTCCCCAGAAAAGGGTCAAGTGACATGATCAAATTCAAACCCTGCAATTAGTTCAGAAAAATAGAAGATGAAAATCAAATCCCACAATTTATTTATTTATTTTTAAAAAGAAGGTTCAAGGTTGGATGCCAGTAGAAATGCACGGAATAGTCCAAACAGGGAGTCGACACAATCCAAGCTCAGCAAAAGAAAAATTAAGAAAATAAAGTCAGAAAGATTGAAGAGGGTTGTAAAATCTGAAAGAATACAATCAATCACAGCAAACCCATCTTTCTCCATACAATCACAGTCACAATCAAAGCAAACCAACTTTCTCCACAACACACCACAAATCTACCCAGAAATAGTACTAGTAACAGCGCTGAAGCTAATTAAGAGTTAATTGTTGTAAATTTAAGCCAGATGTAAATTAGCTGAGTTAATTTCTTACTAATAAGAGACGCTTGCTAACAATTATAAAGGAGAAAGAATATTGAGAATAAAAAG